TATATATATGTTTTTTTTCAAATATACATAAAAAAGTGGTTAGCTTACTTAATTTCCCAAATTACATTGTTTATATTTTCATTAAGATGCTAAAAGAACGTAAGCAAACGAATATAAACAAACATATATTAACATATATTAATTAATGTTGTAAAAATTGGTCCATGCAAAGACACCTAGGTGTTTGGCGGCTTATTGTCTACAATTAGTGCTAATGGTCCAATTTACCGGAGGCGGTCATCATCGATCCTTGGCGGTATAGAGAGTCCAAGCTGGTGAAAAAGTAAGACATGCATGAGTTTTACAACAAGTCCCCGATTAGTCAAACTTAAGATAATCGTTAAGTAAAAAAAGTCAATCGGTTTGTCTAAAATTATGACGTTTGGTGATTTAACTACTTAAACACTTGAATATGTCAAATTTTTATAGTTATTTACTTATTTTTGTAGGATATATGTAATATTGAATTTTTTTAAAATAAATTATATTATAATGAAGGGTCATCACCTAGACCAGTTAGTCATTTGACCATTATCGACCATCCGAATACCGCCTAACGACTTTTACAACTTTGATATGAACATAAATGAAAATAAATGTACATAATCTATATAAAGGAAAATAATTGAACACCAACATCAAAATCAATAACCTTAAAACTCTATTTGGACGTACTTAGGAGTGCTACTTTTGATATTTTATTAAATCTAGAAAGTACAACTTAAACAATTCTATAAGCTCTATTTGCTTTTTCATGGTTGTATAATATTATATAGTCGTAATATAAAAGGAATGAGCATAGACGACCACATAAACAAATAAACATAAATAAACATTCGTGAATGTAAAATTAACAAGAGAAACTGTTATATTTGTTCGTTCGTTTAACTAAATTATAAAACAAAATCATATTTATGTTCGTTCACTTATTAAATGAATGAACATAAATGAACTTCTCACTGAACAATTTCATGAGTTAATAACTAAACGTTCAGTTAGAATGAATTTCCAATGTAACAATGAAAAAAGTCAACTTTTTTTTTTTATCGATTGAGATGAAGTTTCATTGATGCTTTTCTTTTTGCTGTAATAAAGCTAGCATCACTTTTGTTTTCTTTTAAAGATCGGTAGAATCGCTATGGATGCGCAACTCGACAATTTTGCAAAGACGAGACTCGACATAATCTCAATCTTAGGCGCTCCTGAAGCATTTAATTTGTTCGCTACTGCTTTCTTCACAGTAACAATGGGCTCCAACGATTTTATCAATAACTACTTCATTCTACCAGGTCATTCGCACCCGGTGCCTCCGAAAACTTTCATTCAATCCATGATTTCAACATTTAGAAGACAACTTACGGTAACTTACTCTATCCAACTACATATATTTTTCTATCTCTAACCAATAAAAGGTTTTATATATTTGACCTAAAAAATGTTGAAAATTTGACCTAAAAATGTCGTATTTCAAACAAGTCCAGTAAAACTGTAAAATAAGTGGGTATCTCTATTTAAGGAAACCAAATATATAAAAAAAACTTTGGTGGTGAAAAGTTATAGATGTTTGTAGATATGATTTTTAAAAAGCATATCTACAGTAAAGTCCCAATATTTTGACAAAAGTTTTAAAAAAGTCCCATTTTTTTTTTTGAATAAAAAAGCCTAGAAAACCGGATAATTCATTCAGTTTAGTCCCTTTTGACCTTTTCAGCAGGTCACCCATGCCACATGGCATGACAACTGGATAGGTCACGTCAGCAAATGAGATTCGAACCCACAGCCTCCCAAATACAAACCAACCACCTTTCCACTAGGCTAGATGACATTTTGTGTTTTTACTCCTCAAAATGGGAATATAACCTTTTGAACGCATAAGTCTTAATTACAATTATTATTATTATTATTATTATTATTATTATTATTATTATTATTTTTATAATTAAAACGTAAATAATTTTAATATTTCGTAAAAAAAATATGTTAAATATATAAAGTTTTTTTTACGTATTTATATATATTTTTACGTATTTTTATATATATTAAATATCTCTTTTATGCATTTTATATATTTGTACACATACATAATTTTTATGTATATTTTTTTTTTACAAAAAACCTTCTAAAACATGTATGTGTATAAAACGTATTTTTTTACGTAATATATATATATATATATATATATATATATATATATATATATATATATATATATAAACATAATTTTTATGTATATTAAATATCTTTTTTATGCATTTTAAATATATTTTTTAAATATAAATATTAAAATTATTACGAAATATTAAGATTACGAAATATTAAAATTATTTACGTTTTATATATAATAATAATTATAATAATAATAATAATTGTAATTAAGACTTATGCGTTTAAAAGGTTATATACTAATTTTGAGGAGTAAAAACACAAAATGTCATCTAGCCTGGTTGAAAGGTGGTTGGTTTGTGTTTGGGAGGTTGTGGGTTTGAATCCCACTTCCCCTTTTTTCTTCAAAAAATCTGTTTTTTTCAAATTAAAGAGTAATTCGCATGCCACGTCAGCACCTGTCCAGTTGTCATGCCATGTGGCATGGGTGACTTGCTGAAAAGGTCAAAAAGACTAAACTGAATGAATTATCCGATTTTCTGGGCTTTTTTATTTAAAAAAAAATTGGGACTTTTTTAAAACTTTTGCCCAAATATTGAGACTTTATTGTAAATATCAATTTTTAAAATAAAAGAGGTTGAAATGAAGATTTGAGGATGAAAGTTTAAAAATGATCTTATTGTATTATATTACATTGTGTTTATGGATATGAATGGATGATATATGAGAGAAATGGAGATATTTGAGATTCCTTTAGTTTTTATGAAAATTTTACGAGACCCGGTGATCATATATGATGACCCAGATGGGGCCAAAGCGTTTAACTAACCAATGGAGACCAAGGGTGAAGGGGAACCGTGTGGGGTTCCTAAGGCGAAAGACACAAGATAACCGGAGGAGATATCACTCTTGGTGTTAGGTACAACCAAAGGAGATGGGGAAAGAGATGAGAAGTGAGAGAAGGGAGAACGGGAGAATAGGAGGAACATCTTCAGGGTTGAGGATGTTATAGTAAGAAGGAGGAAGAAAGCGATGATAGTTATTCAAGGGGAAGTAATCTTTATCAAAAACGTATGTCGTGGGACGATCACTTTTTGAGTCATTAGATCAAGACATATATAGTCGTGGTGGTTCGAACTTGGTCCAAGATAGACGCATAGATCTTGGAGAAAGTTTGTGTCAGGTAATAAATGAGGTGTTGGGGTAGAAACCCAAACACCCATCAATGAAAGTATAAGGGAAAGAAGACAAAAAGCATCTTAAATGGAGGTTTTGAGAGTTAAGGATAAGGTAAGTAATAGATTTAGAGTATGGACATGCACAAGTAACGCTTCAATCTAAAAATACGGGGGCAACAAGTCTTGAAAGAGAAAGGCATGTAAGGTATTGATGGCGTGCATTAAAAGTTCAACCTTTCCATTTTGATGCAAAGTATATGGACATGAAAACCAAAATTTAATACCATTAGATTTGAGAAATTCCAATGGTTGTTGGTTATTAAACTCACGTCCATTGTTGTATTGGAAAGGCTAAATATCGATTCAACTGATTTGAGACATAAGCACAAAAAATTTAAAAATCATAAAAAGTCATATGTGATACGTTAGGGAAACACCCATTAGAAATGTGAAAAAACATTTAACAATAAAATATGATATTTAAATCAGAGTGTATTAGTTAAACAAGCGTAAATTTTTGTAGTTGAAGAATAAAAGGAAACTTACAATTCTTTGCCAAGTTTATATGCATGGCCAATAGACAACTTATAATGTTTGGATTCCGATCCGTTTATATATATATATAT